GTGTGTGTGTGTGGTGGGGGAGGGACACTGGGAGTGAACTTTAGCCAGTTTGACTTTTTCCTGAGAAGTTCAGATAGCTACAACTTTAGCTGGTTTGGATTAAGAAGTAAGCCGTTTTCCTGCTCTCTCGGTAAGTGATTTTCAGAGGCCATTGGGCCTTGATCGTCACACAGTCGGGGAGAAAGGAAGAGGAAAAGGAGGGAGAAGGAGAGAAAGGGTAGAAGTGTCTTGAAATGAAAGGCTGAGGAGGAAATTTGTGAACTTGAACAATGCTCAGTGCATGTGAAGTTGGACCATGTATTTAAAAAGACTTTGCCAGAGTCCATATCCCAGGACTAACTTTCCTTCCGGCATAAATCCCTGTTGTTCTTTTGATTTGTGTGGATGTTGATGATGATGGTGGTGGTGGTGGTGGTGGTGGTGGTGGTGGTGGTGATATTGTCAGCTCTGCACCCCTAGGTCAGGAAGGGGTAAGAATAAGAACCCCCATGCTCTGGCATCCGTGGAAATACCTGGTGTTGGAAGTAAAAGAACCTCATAAATGTGATGGAATACCTCAGGGCTAAGGCACCCCCGGAGCCTGCTCTCTCCGGACCTGTTTGGGGCCTGATTGTGGAGGCCCAGCCTAGTCCCCTGCCTCCAGGCTCCCTGGGAAGGGACGTCCTCCTGGTCTCGCCCCTTCCTGGCCAGCCAGTTGCCCGCTCAGGTCCCAGCAGCTGGATGTGCAGGCTTGTGGACGGGCCAGGGCGGCTACCTCTACCGCTACATCTTCATGGACAACTAACTATACTGACACACAGACAAGTATGACCACCTGCTGGCCTTAACCAGTGCCCTCTCTTACTTCGTCCTTTCTCTTTCTTGCAAAAAGGCGGCGATGCGTTCAGGGTCAGTTGCGGGTTTGGAGGAGGAGGGTACGCACCCAAACGCCATGTGCTGGCCAGAGCTGTGTTCTGAGAACTAAATGATGGGCCTGCCTGCTCACGATGGCACCTGGGCACTCACAGGAACTGATCACCGTCTTGTCCTGTTTAATAAGCGTGGTGTGGTCCAGTCACAGCCCCAGGACAGGAGCAGCGGGCCCCCCGGATAATAAGCGCTGTTGTCCAGATGGACGCGCAGGCCTGGAGCCGAAATGAGCGCGGCCGGCTCCGTGGTTAGGACACGTCCTGCTGCCTGGCACCGCCTCTCATCGGAGCGGTGGCCAAGCCCCTGCGTGCAGACTATTCTTAGCACACAGCGCGAGCAGATGAAGGCAATCACACGGTCCTCGGAGTTAAATCTGTGCGGAGTGCACAGCGGTGACTCACTGCAAGTCTGCATTTGTCTCCATTGTTTAGACTCTATGAGATGAGATGGGAAAAAACAAAACCCCCACCGCTGTTCAAAGCCGCTCTTGCTGTGCCATGTGACGAGAGAGCTGTCAACACTCTGCCGTGTAATTGAAGGCCTCTAGCGGTTTGGCAGCTGGCAATCGTGACAGACCACGCACTGTGTGATGTTAATGTGGTTAGCGTGATGGCGCCTTGCGTGGGGGACTGGCCGTCCGGAACGACAGTGATGGGCTTTGTCAAACGCGGCCGAGCTGCGGGGCAGTGGGCAGGAGTTGTTTCACTTACAACAACACTGATTTTTGCAGAAATGTGAGGTTTCTCTCTTCTGATAATTTCCTTGTGAGGGACAAGTATGTTATCAAGGATTAGATTATGCCATGCTCACTTTTTCTGACATGAAGCACACTTAAGTGGTGGGAGGAAATTTGTTTTATGCCAAATTATGTCTTATTAGAGGCCCAGCACACAAATTCATGAACTGGTGGGGGACGCTTGGCCTGGCCAGCAATCGGGGCCAATCGGGGGGTGGGACGGGGGAGTTGGCCAACCAGGGGGAGGGACTGCAGATTGGCCGGCATGGGGTAGGGACCACGGTAGGTTGGCCAGCTTGCCAGGGGAAGGAATGCGGGAGGTTGGCCAGTGGGGGATAGGGACCGTAATAGGTAGGGGAGAGGGACTGGGGGAGGTTGGCCAGTCATGGGAGGTTGACTGTGGGAGCGCACTCATTGACCTGTCGTTCAATTGCATATGCTTTTATATATAGATAGATAAGCTATGGTGACATGCCAGCACTTGGGGAAAATCTCCAAGGCCAGCGAGACACTCTGTTTAAGCAGCTGTTGAGTTAGCCCAGCAGCATCAGGTACTCAGTACAGCGTGACTACGAGCTGGTTAATTTCTATGCAAGCAGCAGCTGCATCCCTACCCACTGAGCATCCCTCCTGACGGGAAGCGGCACTATATCAGGGCTGTCTGAAGTGGGGTGAAGGCCTGGGTCCAGGAATACACATGGCTCCATTGTCTCTTCACTGACTGATCTTTCTAAAATGCCTTATCGTCCATAATGGGTTTTCCCATCAGTGAGCTCATCCCTTATCTTATTGCCCACGCTATAGAGATAAGAAAGTGAGGCATAAGGTTGTTAAATTTATCAGCCTAAACTTCAGCGAAATTCTGTCCAGAACTTAGATCATCTGTCATTTTGTGCATTGAGGTGCTCTTTCCGAGATCACGTTGTTCTCATTCTATAGTCATTCGGCAGCAGCCGCTAATATTTATTGAATGTTAACTATGGGTATAGGATTATGCTAAGTACTTCATCTCATCTAACCATCAATCCTATGAGGTAGGTGCCATTGCTAGTCCCCCATTGCACCTATAAAAAGAATGTTCTGATTAATTGAGTAGCTTTCCCATCATTGAGTGGCTGTTACTGTCAACTGGATTTGAAATTCAGTCCATCTAATTCAAAAGTGTGAAGACAATGTTTGTCATCTTACCACCCCAACTGCTTAGAAATCAGTACTTTGCATAATGTTACATTTTACTGTCTATGCAACGGAGTCATGTTATTAGTGCTCTGGTGGCCATGCCACTGAGTCCTTTGCCTGAAGCTCTGACTTAAGTGTGTCTCCTGGATGTGTTCAGACAGCACTGGACTCTGTGGTCTTCCAGCTGGTGGTGATGTCAGTCAGGACAAAGCCCCAAATGTCTTCTCCAGCTGCAATTCCCACTCTCTTACTGACTCACACAACCCGAGCCACTACCTTCTCACTACACCTTCTCCGTTCCACACGTCAACAGCACCAAGCCTTTAATGGAAGTAATTTCTCACAGGAGATCTGGGACATGGCTACTCCTCCAGACGAATGAGATTAGATGGTGGCCAACATGCTGTCTCAATGTTTTATTTTTTTTAAAAATATATATTTTATTGATTTTTTACAGAGAGGAAGGGAGAGGGATAGAGAGCTAGAAACATCGATGAGAGAGAAACATCAACCAGCTGCCTCCAGCACACCCCCTACCAGGGATGTGCCCACAACCAATGTACATGCCCTTGACCGGAATCGAACGTGGGACCTTTCAGTCCGCAGGTAGACGCTCTATCCATTGAGCTAAACCGACTTTGGCTGTCTCAATGTTTTAATAGTAATTTCCTGTAGACCAGGGACTGGCACACACTTTGCATTCAGGGCGGGACGGGAAGGAGATTAGGCCTGGAGAACCGTCCTCTGTGCTGAAAGCTGCACAGACACAGACGTGAGCCCCATGGCCTGTCCGTGCACTTCACCATGGACGTGGAGGCCTGAGGGTCACTTACTGTTCACGGGCCCCGAAATGCTCTTCTTCCGCTTTCCCAGTCTGCTTTCCAACCGTTCACTAACCTGGACCTTCCCAGCCCGTGGCCACACAGAACGGAGCCCCGGCCAGAGCTGCTCACCTGCTCTGGGCGCTAACGGCTGCCTGTATTGTTCTTGGTTGTGACCAAGCTTGGGCTCAATCGGAGAACATTCTCTAAGAAGCGGCCACGTGAGTCTTCGCGATCATGAACGTCCTGACATTTTTTCAGACGTGTTTCTCCAATCCTGCCCATGTGAGAGATGAGGCGCAGGGTCCCCTCGGTGACACGCCCTCACCCACAGCTCCTCAGCTGCCGTGGGGCTCGCCGCCCGGGCTAGTCTGGTCGCAGACTGTGCTCACTCCCACATAGAGCTGCTGTAACCATGGAAACCTGACTCGCCAACTTTCTAAACTAGACAGGAGCACGTTACCTCTGCTTTGCCATGGCACGCGTTCATGGCGCCGCTCCGCTTTAGGAGCTCGGTGGCAATGGCTCAGGGCCAGCCGTGGTGTGGCTCCTGGTAAACCAGAACTGCTATATTGTATTATGAAACCTACATCCAACAGCATGCTGAGGTGCTATTGCTTATATCATTTTGTTATGGTTTGAGATCAAAAGGAAAAGTGTGAATGAGTTCTGTCAAATAAAGTGGTAACTTAGGTGGCCATTGATTTGAGGAAATCTCACATAGAAGTTTCTGTTGCTTTTTGGACTGAAAAATTAAGGCCTGAAAGATGCATGTCGGCAATTTGCCCAGAAAGTTTCATCATCCCGGACTTGGAGGTGGTGAAATGCACCCGGGCCTGAGCTCCATGCCTGGTGGTTCCCAGTCAGGGCACACACCCAGGTTGTGGGTTCGATCCCCAATAGGGGCTCATATGGGATACAAGGGAACAATGTTACTCTCTCACATCAATGTTTCTCTCTCTCCCTCCCTCCCTCCCTTCCTCCCTCCCTCTTTCCTTCTCTAAAATAAAAAAATAATTATGATAAATGTTTTTTAAAACTTGTCAGTTGAAATTATAATGAATTGTAGGGGGAAAAAGTTTCTTTAAACTTTTAAGCAATTACCTTGAACTGCAGCAAGGACGTTACTGCAAGTAAGTGAACTGCGTGCCCAATGTCACCCTCGGCCGGCTGTGAAAATGGGCCCGGCCTGCTGGGCCCGGGGGTCCCTAGGACGCCCAGCGTCTCGGACTGCGCCCGGCCCGTCGCCCGGCACACCGATCTCACTGTCCCTCCCCAGTGTGGACCTCTCCGGCTGTTCTCCGGGAGAAATGTCCTGACACTGGTGCCAACGCTGTGCCTGCTTCTCTCCACAGGGCCCCTCCTGCTGGGACGACGTGCTGATCCCCAAGCAGATGACGGGGGAGTGCCAGTCGCCAGGCTGCCCCGGGACCAGCGCGGTGAGTACCTGCCGCTCCCCGTCTGCCAGGGGGCATCCCCCATGTTCACAGGGCAATGACCCGGGAGACAAAAATGCTGGCTTTCTCCCGTCCGATAACATTCGCCAAAAGTGGTGCAAGGTTCAAGAGTGTTCCAAACATTCGCCACAGCTTCTCCGTGGCACTGCCTGCCGGGCCTCCTTCCCGGGGCCGCACCGCTCTGGGTGACCGTGCCAAAGCGACAATTTAGACTCCTCGCAGAGCGACAGTCGTGGGATGTGAGCCGGAAGGGCCAGGCCCGGCACAGGAAAGGAACAAAGACAGTGTTGCTGTTTCTCCTGATGCGGCGATCCCCGTGTCACTCAGCTGTCCTTCAGCCTTACGCCTGCTGGGGATGAAATCGAAGGGCATGTTTTGCAGGGAGCACTCTTAAGTACAGTTACCTGCAGGCGCGTGCACACAGCTGCGGTGTGTATATGTGTATCTTAGAGTATACACTAGAGGCCCGTGCACAGCTTCCTGCCCTGAGGCGGTAGCGGGGGAGGGGTCTCAGCCTGGCCTGTGCCCTCTCACAGTCCAGGACCCGGCCTAAGCCAGCAGGCGGACACCCCCACCCCAACCCCCAAAGGGGTCCTCAGCACAGGAGAGGCTCCCTCCACCATCGCTGCGCTCACCGGCCGGGAGCCTGGCTTCTGGCGGAGCAGCGCTCCTCAGCGGGAGCACACGGACCACCGGGGGCAGCTCCCGTGTTAAGCATCTGCCCCCTGGTGGTCAGTGCATGTCATAGAGACCGGTTGGTCGATTTGCATATTAGGGTTTTACTATAGAGGATGATGTAATACCGTTAATGACAATGCTGGGAGGCCGTACCCTCTGGTGTGTATAACACTGGTCTCCATAGCATTTGGAAGTCTCCTCCCATCGTAGCCAGTCTGCCTGCCTCTCGTACCTTGAGCTCAGTGGCAGGATTGGGTCACAGAAGAGCAGTAAGTGCTGCCTCTGTGAGATTTAGCTCCAATCGGCCGAAGGGGGCACTGTGGAGGCGGGGTGGAGGGGGGCTGTCGCTTGTTGCATCTCCCACTCGCCTGGAATATCAGGGCAGAGGGTTGCGTGTAAATCTCTGGTCCTGACGGCTCCGTGAACTGGTGCCCCAAACCCTTCCCTCACCCCGTCTACAAACCTGGATTAAACACAAGCGCGTGTTTGTGAAGGATGGCTGTGCTGACAACAGTGAAAAAAATACGAACCAGGAATTCCGAGCAGCTGGACTGCAGAGAGGATATGTATAAACTGCAGCCACTGATTAGGGGAGGGGAGGGGGGCGCAGAGCCTGGGACAGCAGAGGTCACGGCAAGGTCAGGGCTCAGCAGGGGGAAGAGCAGCACCTGCTGGGTCAGCTGTGGGGGGCTGGGCGTGGGGCCTGGTCTACTCCGGCCGCAGGTGAAACGTCCCCGAGAACTTGGGGGCACAAACCCTTCTTCCCAAATTGAGGGGGAGGGGGGCATGTGGGAGGCATTACTTAAAGGAGGCTCTCTAGCTTCCCATAAAAGATGTGATAACCCAGAACAATATAGCAATTTAGAAAATGGCATCATGTTAGTAACGTGAACTTAACAACATATTAGGGCCAGCTGTCAGAGTTCACGGATCCAGTGCATGAGTCTCCAGCCACTTGGAGAGAAACATGCCGAGGGTGTGAGCTCCAGCAGCTCCACTCAGAACACTCAGAAAGGACGGGGCCACTAATAGCCAGCAGACCGGCCACCCCCCACACACACCTGAGCACGGCCCCCCCCCCAGCCCCGCCAACGAGGACACCCCACGGTTCCAGCACGTTTGTGACACCTGATCAGGTTCCCGGGCACGAAGGCGTTCCACCATCACTAGCCAGCAGGTAGCCACGAGAAGCCTCTTCAACGTGGATACTCAATCGCTTAGTCAATAAAAAACACCCGCGTGGAACTATGGGATCAAGCAATAAAGAGAACATGCCACACACCAGTTCCTTTGGGAGGAACCTGGATTCGCTTTTAAAGGGAGTATTTAATATCACAGATGCGTATTTAATTTAAAAAGAGGGTGACATTATTTAAACATATTGTAAGATAAAGAAATGATCACCTCCTACTGCATCCCCCGGGTCCAGTGAGCCCACCGGCTGCTGGTGGGCAGGAGGCGGCTCTCCGGAGGGCAGACCCGCATCCTTCAGTCGGTGCCCTCGGAGCCTCTGCTGGAGCGCGGGGTGGGGTTGTGCACCGGGCCCTGTGTGCTCCCGGCGCTGGGCGCTGGCTCCGGAGGGAGGCGCGAAGATGGGCATTGGTAAGTATTTTGTCTTACGTTTGCCGGGTGTTTTGAATTTTAGACAGTGTTTTGGACCCTCTATGTTATAGTCTCATAAAAAAGGTATAATTCCTGTCCCTTGCATAAATAGCCATATACTTAAAATTCAAAAGAGCAGGGCTCCAGGGCGGTCCTAATTAATATTTATGTACCTAAAGATATTCTAACCAGCTCATTTGAAGTAGCAGTGCCATTTAACCTTGGTTTTTAGAGAACAAATACAAGCTTGACCTTCACACAGAGAAACGAACCGCATCCAGCTCCACACTAATTGGTGTCACCGTAGGACAGCGCGGCGTTGGTCTGGAAGGCGTCTCAGTTCATGAAAAGAGCCTTTTGGTCAATTCAGAGAGCGTGGGCTTGGGGTTAAGAGTGGGGATCAATAGGATATTCTCCATTAGAGGGATTAAGTCACCTTTGGGTATGATGTTAAACTAAATTTCCTATGTAAATCTTCATTTTACATTTTGTCTACGATACCTTAGACAATGAAGATTATGTGTCTGTACATGTGCTGGGGGTTGTTTTTTTATTTGTACTCTCAGAGGCTAAGTATTATTCCTCTCTGGGCCTTATTCCTGAGTTCCACATCATAACTTTAAAAAAATATTTGTATTGATTTCAGAGAGGAAGGGAAAGGGAGAGCTGGAAACATCCATGATGCGAGAGCACGTCAGTCAGCTGCCTCCATTCTCCACTCTTCAGAGTGAGCCATGGCCACAGTTACCTTGCCGAGGGGCGTCTGTTTACTGTTCCGCAGCCATGACAGTTTACCTTTTTGAGAGTACTGTTTACCGGAAGTGCCGTGTAAAACCGCATTGTCTTCTTTAGATTACTTGATTTCGCCAGGAGCCGGAGTCTTTACAGAGAACTCCCTTTTCTTGTCAGAAACCGTTGAGAAGGGCCTCTAAAAATAGCTCCCTGATTTATTTCAAATAAAATCAGATTCCGAAAACTGTCCCCTGCACTATAATGAATCGCATAATTAGTAAACTCAGTGCAGTAACCCGAGTGCTTCCCTCTCCCCGTGTGTTTACCTCCCGCCCGGGCCACAGAGGGCCAGTCCTGCCGGGGGCATCCGTGGAGGGGAGTTAGGACTCGGTCTCCAGCTCCGATTTCCTCTTCTCCGAGATGCTAACTAACAGGAAACGCATAGCACGCGAGAGGCGCCCGGGAGAAACCACCGTTACTGCCCACACGTTTGCTTCCTTCATGTGCAGGCCTGGCTTGTTCATGTCTGTTTCCAGGCATTGCTCACCCACAGGGGCCTGCAGTTTCTCCTGCGGTTCTCACTGTCCTGTTATTTTTATTTTATTTTTTAAATATACTTTATTGATTTCTTTAAAGAGTGGAAGGAAGAGGGATAGAGAGTTAGAAACATGGATGAGAGAGAAACATCGATCAGTTGCCTCCTGCACACTCCCCACTGGGAATGTACCCGCAACCAAGGTACATGCCCTTGATCTGAATCGAACCTGGGACCCTTCAGTCCGCAGGCTGACACTCTATCCACTGAGCCAAACTGGTTTTGGCTTTACTGTCCTTTTCAACCTTGTTAGGATTTCACCCAGTGGACCCTCAGGGTGGCCTCCTGAGGGGCACTCCCTGTCCTTACCTGACCCCCATCCAGCCACAGTCACAGGCTGCTGTGTCCTGTGAGGAAGAGAAGACCTCAGGGCAAACAGGCGTCCGGGACAGTCACAGTGACACACGGGCCCTGGCGCCTCCCAGTACACACGGAGCAGTCCCAGCTCCTGGCCGCCGGGGGCGGGGGTCCGGGGGCTGGGGGCCCGAGGGCGGCTGGCAGCAGGGGCGAGGGGTGGAAGCAGACACGAGAGAGGGGCGACCTCTGCTGCCCCCTCGCTCTGCCCTGGGGTTCGCCGGAGGGAACTGGTCCCCGCCCGCCCTGGCCCCCACACCCCGCTGTCTCGCCTCCAGTAAGATGGAATGGTGCAGGGCTGAGGGCCTCTCAGGTAATGATGGAACGGTGCCAACGCCAGACAAAAGGCTCTGTTGTCTGACATGCAATTTGGGTGACAAACTAGAAACTTCGTCTGTCATTTTTCAAAATCCAATCAGGTATTCAGGCTCAAGGACACTTCACCGCCAAACTAAGTTTTGAGCACTTGGTAACAAAAAGTGTCATTTAAAAAAAAAAATTAAGTCACATAAATAAATAGATAGATAGATAGATAGATAGATAAATGAATGAATAAATAGATAGATAGATAGATAGATGGATAGATAAAATTAAGTCCCGAATTATAGAATCAGCTAAAATTTTGCATATTTAAGCAAAACATTTAAACATGCTTACATATAAAAATAAATTATTCCATTATGAAAAAGGTGTCAGGTGTTAAGAGCTAAAGAAATTTGGGCAGAATCGAAGAACTAGGATATTTGTGAGGCTCTGTAGCCGAGACTCAGTTCAAATGAATTTTTTTCTGCAACATCACCCCTGTCACTGTCGCCGGCTCTCCCTCAGCTCAGGGACGGGAGCACCAGCCCTTCCTCGGTGTGGTGAGCGACTCTGCCCTGGTTGGATGCCTCGCTGGGGAGGGGACCCGGTGCCGGAACGCCCTGCAGTGCAGCGTGCACCGCGCGGCCAGGGACAGCGCGCACCGGGCCCGCACACAGCCTAGGTCAGCTGGTGACGCCACTTGCCAGAAACTCCTGCT